GGAAGGCCCTCTATGAGGTGGACTGATTCAGTGACTGGGATAATTGGGATGGGAGTGTCAGAGACAGTGCGATTGGCACAGGACAGAGAGGAGTTTAGGGCTGTTATACATAGGGTCGCTATGAGTCATAGGCGACTCGACGGCACATAACAACAACAACAACAACAACAACAACACTAAATAATTCTAACAAAAGTTAAAGTATCAAGTTTCAGCAACTACACTATGGCAAATGCTAAAATATACACATTACACTTTTACCCTAAAAGAAACAAGTATTCTCCACCCCCCACTGATTGATTCTTCTTTGGGTAGGAGGCTTTCTTCTGTCCTTTCTCTCACCTTTTAGTTCATTTCAGGTGGAGTCATTTATCAAATAAATTTTGGAAGAATAAATTGAGTGGTTTAATTGGAGTTCCACTCTTCATTTGAGGATTAGTCTAACTTGCAGAGAATAAAAAATCTAACCTTGCTTCTCCAAAGACAAATCCTATTCTCAAGCAGAGAAAGATGGACCAGTTGAGAAGGGGTCTGGTTTTATCGGTGGTGTTGATGAGTCTGTTCCAACTCATAATAATCCTCCACTAGGTTTCTGAAGGTGAAAATCATTAACAAGGGGAGACTTCCCATCTTTCTTATTGAGTGCTACTGCCAATTTCTAAATTGGTAATTAAAGTTTAACTGTTTATGCCATACAGGGACCTTCCATAACATTAAGTTAGTAGAAACGAAGCTAGAGTCTTAAATGGAGAAGATTGTCCTATAGTTGAAACACCTAGTTGTTGTTGTTGTTGATTGTTGTCGAATCATCGTGATTCCATGAACAAAGACATATTGCATTTCTATAAGTTTCTCCAAGTTCACAGAGTTTTCATAGGCATGTGGTTCAGGAAGTGGATCCCACTCCTGCTTCCAAACCTGTCCTACAACTGGGAGCTCCACCAAACACTGTCCATATTGGTAAAACCATCATGGTATTTGATACCCCAATGGCACAGGTTCAGCATCACAGCAAACCGATATTACCTCAGTACAGCAAACTGACAAGGAGCGATGTACAAACCAGAAGAATATTTCTCCAAAATATAGCAACACAGTGGGTAAATGTGGTCAAGTCATCTAGCAGCGGCTAAGAGTGGTCAAGTCGAATGCATAGCAACCCTATAAACAAAAGACCTGAACTCTGTTCTATAATTAATGTCATTTCTTTGTTTATAGAGTTCATAGGGTTTCCAGAGGCATCTGGTGTAGGAAGTGGATGCCACTCCTTCTTCCAAACCTGAATCAATCTGGAAGCTCCTCCAAACAGGGTCCATGATGGGTAACCATCATGGCATTTGACACAGCTATGGCACATTAATTGGTAACTCAAAGTTATTCAGTACCAAAGATAGACAAACAACTGCTGTACCACTTAAGAATTTTCATTCTCATATTGATAAATTTGGCCTGAGGGCTCTACAGAATTTTAAAGACACACCCAGCAAATGCTGTTGACTATGCTCCACCCTTGGGTCCTTGTCAAAATTTCAAAATAGAAAGCTGGCCTGTAAAGCTACTAAAACTAAACTCAAAGCTATCTTATGAGGGCATTTCCTTTTCTACACTGTGAAAGCAATTCCTCTAAAAGTGACTTTACAGAGAAAATAAATCACATTAAGAAAGAAAGCTCTCAAACATAACTGAATCAAGAGGAAAAGTTTATCACAATAGAGATAACCCCCTCAAAAAAGTTTTTAAAATAAGCATTTTCTATCTGCAAAACAAATGAAAAAGGGCAAACCATTAGGCAAAAAATAATATTAAACAATGAATTTGAAACAACATTAAAAACGGAATTTTAAAAAAGAACCATGTAGAAACCCTAAATAAAAAATATAGTCACTGAAATAAAAGTACCACAAAAAAACCAACCAACAATCTAGAACTCAATAGACAGGATGAACCAACAGACTACACAGAAGAAAGAATGAATTAGATTGTAGACATGAAGAATTATCTACAAAGTAGAAGAGAGAAAAAAAAATGCAAAAAAAAAAAAACAACAAACAAACAAATATCTATTTAAGGCCGACTGTATGCTGTAGAAAAATAGATACCTACCTGCTGTCTAATAAAAGACGCCCTTGAAGTACAAATGGTTAAGTGTGCACCTTGCTGATCTAAAAGTCAGATTGCCTTTTCCATCTCATTGAAGAATGGAATTGGTATTTGTATTGGGATTGCATTGAACGTGAATATTGCCTTTGGTAGTATTGCCATTTTCACAACATTGAGCCTTCCTATCCATGAGCAGGGGATATTCTTCCACTTCTCCAGGCTTTTTTTTTGTTTCTTGTAATAATATTTTGTAGTTTTCTTTTAATAGATCTTTTGTGCTTCTACTTATATTTACTCCCAAATATTTGATCTTGTGATTAGCTATTGTGAAGGGTATTGTTTTTCTTAGCTCCAGCTCTGTATTCTCTTTATCACTGTAGAGAAATCCAACTGATTTTTGTATGTTGATCTTGTATCCTGCTACCATGCTGAATTGGTCAACTATGTCTAATAGTTTTCTTGCTGAGTCTTTAGGGTTTTCTAAGTATACTATCATGTCATCTGCATAGAGGGATAATTTTACTTCCTCTTTGCCAATTTGTATACCTCTAATGTCTTTCTCTTGTCTTATTGCTATCGCTAAGACTTCCAATACAATACTGAATAAGAGAGGAAATAATGGGCATCCTTGCCTAGTTCCTGTTCTTAAAGGGAATGCCTTTAACCTCTCTCCATTGAGAATAATGTTAGCTCTCAGGTTTTCATAAATACTTTTTACTATATTCAAGAAATCCCCCTCTAGTCCTAATTTTGTTGAGTGTTTTCATCAGTAAAGGGTGTTGGATTTTGTCAAAGGCCTTTTCTGCATCAATTGATAGGATCATGTGGTTCTTGTTCTTTGCTTTGTTAATATGATGAATTACATTAATTGTTTTTCTTATATTGAACCATCCTTGCATGCCTGTTATGAATTCCACTTGGTCATGATGCATTATTTCTTTGATGACGTTGTCTTCTATTGGCCAATATTTTATTAAAGATTTTTGCATCTATGTTTATTCCTTCTTTTAATGCTTTACATATTTTAAACCAATTTGTTCACACAATCCTTCACTACTGCAACTCAAGGCTCAATTTTTTTTCCTTTCTTCATTCTTTTAGTTTAGGAAGTTCTACCAGTGTTCTCTAGGTTAGTGCATGATTTTTTTTTCTCAATTCTCTTGGCTAGTCCATGTAATGATCCTTTACAGCAATCTCCTGTGATATACTGCCTCTGAAAACATGCTGGACGGTATGCTATGAGTCATTTCGACTTGACAGCACACATGTAAATGAGGCAAGATTTAGAGGCAAATATGTAAGGACATAATCATTCTATGTTATGATCTGATGATATGTGATCAGTCCATCAGCTGTAAAGAGACTAGGGCATGATGTAACATCTTTCATAGCCCTGATGTGATGTAAGGGGAGTTTTCTTAGAATGTGGCTTGCATCACCTTTTTGACGATGATGATGATGATGAAAGAAAAGAGAAGCGACCTTTAAGGAGTGACGAGACTTCAGTATTCCCAAGAAAGAAGTGTCAAGAGTAGAGTACATTCTTGTAAAGCAGGTTCCGATGCTGGGAATCTCCTAAAACCAAGGAATCAACAGAAAAAACCCTTCCCCTACAGCTAGCACTCTGAATTTGGACTTTTAGTCTCACCTTCTGAAGTGACAGAGAAGAAATGTTAAAGCCATCTCCTTATAGTATCTCTTACAGCAGCAGTAGACCGCTAAGATACTAGCGTAGTCAACATTAAATAAAGCAGGCAGACTCTGCCAAAGTGGATTTTACCACCATCCTGAGGATCTCCATAAGACCATAAAAATGTAGGCAAACAAATTCATTTATAGTAATAAATTATGTTAAGTGCAAACAATACAGCACGCCAAAAAATAATAACAGGATGGCCAAGGAAAGCAGCGCTGGGCATTGCAGAGAGAAGGCATGTGTGATTTTCTAACAGAGAGCAAGAACAAGCTTGGCGAACTGAAAGGTCATTAGCCTAGAGAGTCGTAAACAAAAAGAGGGCACACCAACAAAGAGTAAAGAAAGCAAAACTGCTAGAGCTTTTGAGGTGCATCAAAACTACTGCAGAATTTTAATCATGGGAACTTCGTGATCAAATGAAAAGATAAGTCTGAAAAAAGAATTATTCAGGAAAAAGAAGTAGCATGGCCAGGAATGAAAGCAAGTGTCAGGAGAGGTGTAACCACAGTCAGAACAAAGAAATAAAATCCTCTTCGTAGCTCCACCAAAATCAGGCTAAGAATAATAGGTTAAGAATTGTTGTTGTTATTGCTATGTACCGTTGAGTCAAAACTGACTCACAGTTGACCCACTAGTGGGTTTTGAAAGGTTATACATTGCATAGGAGGAGACTGTCCAGCCTTCTCCCAGAGAGCAACTGATGGATTTCAATCACATACCTCTGCATTAGCAACATAGTTACCACTAAGTCAGTGTTGTTATTATGTACCATTGAGTCACCTGCACAGCAACACTATGTACAGGAGCTTTGATGGCTGCTCTGTCTTGAGCCAGTCTCACTGATTTCAATACACCTTCCCCCATTGTCCCAGTTACTGTATCAATTCATCTCATCTAGAGTTTTCTCCATCTGTGCTGTCCCTCCACCCTTCCAAGCACGATGTCCTTCTCCAAGGACCAGTCCCTCCTGGCCATGTGCCCAAAGTATGTGCGATGGACTTCAAAATCTTAGCCTCCAAGGAAAAACCTGATTTCACCCTCTACAAGACAATTCTGTTTTCTTGATGGTTCATGGTATGTTCAAGATTCTTCTTCAGCCCCACAACTCGAAGGCATCGATTCTTCTTCTGTCCTCCTTAGTCAGTCCCAGGCCTACTTCAGAAACGCTGAGGCTCCACACACAGCTGGTCTGGGTTTTCACCTTTTGCCCTGCAAACTCAGGACAAGAACTGTACAGATTCACACAAGACAGGATCTGAGACTAAGCCAAGAGAATCATAAATTATTGGACCTGAAAGTAATTTCCCAGAACAGGAACCAACCTCCTTCCTCACTTTACCAATGAGTAAGCAACTGCTCAAGAGCAAATTGCACAGAGACTAATACTAATACTAATACTAATACTAATATAAACGTGTTATTTTCTCCTTAAGGTTAAGTTTAAATTTTGTTTCTGAAATACCTACTCTAGCTGTGTTATACTTGCAGGGAAATGGAAGGATAGTTGGAATGGGAATAAAAAATCCCAACTCTGCCATAATTAAGGTATTAAGATAATCTATCCACTTGGGCAAATGATATCGTCTCTGAGCTGTGGAGCTGTGTATTATCGGTAATATGTGTATTATGAATAATTTTGAATATGTGTATTCTTACTATAGTCAGAACCCACCCATAGTTGAGTCTCCAGCGAGTTTTCACAGGCAGTTTAAACGCCCAGGAGATTGCCCATCTTTCTCTCGCAGTTGGCAGTTATCTCCTTACTCCTAAGTAACCAGAGCTCCCTTCTCTAAGATTTCGTATCTTTATATATAAAATGCTGGCGTTTGCACTAAGAAATGAAATTTCCATCTAGATAATCACCCCTAAATTACATACGTAAACTCCAGGAACCTGAAATTAAGAGAATCCCACTACAAACAGCACTTTTCGTGGAAATTTCGGATACTCAAATTACGTCCAGCAGTAGCATCTTTCTGACAAATATATTTGCAAGGTTTTTGTTTTATATGCGCCTTCCATGTAAAGACTACACAAGTGAGGGGGGAGGATGAAAGGTAGATGAGCAGGGCAGCGGGCAAAGAAAGGTGGTCAGTGAGTAGCTCCAATAATCAAGCCAGTCTCATGGATATACTTGATATAGGTGAGAGAAAGAAAAGCTCAACTGCAGAATTTCTTACTTATATTCTTCCTCTTTGGCGAGCAGGTCCTGTCCCAGTGAAGCAGGTTGCTGACCGCGAGACGGAAGCGGAGTCCTTGAGACGCTCCGTCTCTGTAAAAAAGACAGATTTTCAGAAATGAAAGTCCAGCGGGGTTTGGCGTCCCTGTGGTCCACCCAGATCTCCATGAGTATACAAAAGCCCTTCCTTGAACGAACCCTGACACCAAGAACTCGTCCCGCCATCTTTCAGTGCCGCAACCTGGTTACCAAGGCGACCACAGGTCTTCCCGCGAGAGTTGGCACAGCCCCGGCGGCTCTCGGGGCTCCCGCGGTCCCACTGGAGGCCGTGCGCGGGGGGCGAGGCGGAGGGATGGAGCGGAGCTGGGTGTGCAAGTCCTTAGCGCGACCTCTGGCCTCCGCCCCACCGGCCGAGATGCCTTCGAAGTGCTTTTTTGAGTGATAACCTGGTGTAAACTCTCAACTTGGACACTTTTCCACAAGGGAGGCAAGTTCGTTTCTACTTTTCAAATAGAAACCAAATGTAGGAAAGCCGCTGCCCTAATCTGGGTTTTCAGCCTTTAGTGGCCAGTACGCTCCCCACCTGCATGAGTTTTGTTTAACCTAAAAAATCTGCAGTGGAATTCTAAAGCACTGGTTTCTAACATTTATTTACAGTCGTTGTTGTGTCCCTTTGAGTCGGAACCGGCCGATAGCTCACCCTTGAGGGGGTTTCCAGAGGCATTTGCCTGCACGGGAGGCAGATAGCTCATCCTAAATTAACAGCATTTGTTGACAGCGTAGTTAAGAGTCCAGACACACCTTTCTTGATTTTAAACCTAGCAGTGTCCACTTTTATCTGTTAAACCAGTTTGCATCCTCACCAATAGTGGGTGAGAGTAATGATTCCAGTTTCACTAACACTTTGCATATTTAAAACACCCAACCCTTTTTCTTTTAGAAAAGTGTGTTTAAAGAAAAATTGTAAATGTAATAATTACTCTTAACACATTAGTATAATGTTACATTAAAAATAATTGTTATGTACTATTGAAAGGTAACTTCTAAGACAGATTTTCTAGGTATTTTTTGACAATCCATAGTATATTCAGTATTTTTTTCACAAACACCAGTTCTTCTTTGCACTTTCTTGTTCATTGGCTGAAGCTATTTAAAATACCGTAGTTTGTGCCAGGCATGGCTAAGTCTTCTAATTGACATCCTGCTCTAATTATACCGTTGAGAACTAAAACCATACTTGACTCAGATTTCCCTGTTCATTGTTGTTGTTTTTTTTAATTTAAATAAAATTTTTATTTTAACTTACAAAGTTCATATACATTGTTTTTCCACACTGGAAAACCTTTCCCATTTCAGATTCCTTAATTTTTACCTTTTCTGCCTCCTTTCTGTTCTGTGATCCCATCCAAATACCACATTGCACTTGTTATTATTACCTTCTTACGTTCCTTTTGGGGAGTTCTGGGGGCATAGTCCATAGCTAGTTATACTGCTGACTCAAAAGCTGTGCATCTCTGTTAGTTCCAATCCAGCCATGGATCTTCCACAGAAAGATGGACAGTCTCCTGGATTACGTGATTTATAGCCTCAGAAATCTGATGGAGTGTGAGCTGAGTTTAACCTCCTTTGGTTGTGACAGTTCTTTGACAATTTTGAGGCAATACTGATCAGATATTTGTAGAATGACTTTCAATTGAGATTTGAGATTTGTTTGACATTTTCCTCATGATTAGACTGGGACTATTAGCTTTTAGGAAGAAGTTAACAGATGAAATGTTACTTTAATTACATCAATCTAGGTTCCATACTGTCACTGTGATATCATTGTTGATGCTAATCTTGATCACCTGGCTTGAGTTACTGTTTGTCAAATTAATCTACTGTAGAGTTAACTTTCCCCCCCTCCCTCTTCATATTGTTAGTTGGAAGAAAGTCACAGTGTACAGTCTATACTTAAGGAATTGGGAGTTGTGCTCCATGTCATTGAAGGCAAAGTCTTTAAATTATTTGGAATGCTTTTACATGACAGATCTATTTCCTTGATGTATTTACATATTTATCCATTCATTCTGTAATTTATATATGTATAGTCTGATGAACATTGATTTTATACTTTGGATTATAATACATTGTTATTTCCTTTTGTTATTCCAATTGTTCCAGCTTTCCCATTGAGTGTTCTTTCAGTTGACCTCAGTATCTCTTTGACACATCTGTCATTGTAAGGTCGGGTTTTTTGTGTGTTTGCTTATTAAGCACTTACTTTATGGCACTGAAAAATGTAACAACAGATGTTCTTAAATCTCTCCTTTCTCTCTACAATAATGTCATTTTACTTGGATAACCTTTCTCTCTACAATAATGACTTTTTTACTTGATGTTTTATGTGATATGATCATAACTAACTTGGAATTCTTTGATTTATAATTTTCCTGGTGTACCTTTTCCTTTCAGAGACCAGTCCTGCTTTTGCAAGTCAAGACTCTGGAAAGAGACAGAGTTGGTACTCACCCACCAGAGTCAACATTGGCTAGTGAGAAGTGGATGCCTTGCCAAGCAGTGTAGTGGTCTCTAAGGTAAGACTTGTTTGTAAATGCATGAGTTAGGTTCTAACACCCACAGATACTTGAGGGAAAATGTAGAAGTGACTACTCTTTCCCTTAGGAATTAGAGCAAAATTCAGTGACATCTGAATATTAGTATAACTTCTACTTATGTCCTTAACTGACCTAATTCAGATTACAAATTGACAATGTACATAAATGTTTTTAAAGCTAGTTAAAATTACACTAACATATAAACCTTGGTTATCATAGATGATTTTTAAAAATGTGTATCTTCTACTTTACTGAAAATAATCCCAGATTATATCATATTTAGAAAACTAAAAATGAAGTGACACAAGAAATATAAAATTACTTGTCAAATACACTGGATAGACGGAGCAATAGGAATAAAAGACCAGATTCTGGATTTGTCCAGAAAAACAGTACTGCTACCCTTAGGAAGGATACTTACATTAAACAGGAGAACGAAAGGTCATAATTCACTAAGGCTCACCTAAATTCTGATTGGCTTCAAGGGTGACTGAAATTATCTCACTGGGGTCATATACTAGGAACAGACAGAACAAATCTCAAGTCACATTTTCTGATTTGCTCTGTTTTAGTATACCATCTAAAATGATTTTGTTAATTCTGTGAAGTTTTTTGTTTATTTATTTGGGATTTTTGTCTTCTTAAACTCTGGAAGGAAAGAATCACTAAATATTTTGGGTTATAGATGTTATTCTTGTGTGACAGAAGAGTGCTGTTTTATGGAGGAGATTTCTAAGAAAAGACTCCTAAAAAAGATTTCTAAGAGCATGTCACCTCCACAGGAGGGTTTTTGTAACAAATTTTTAGGAACTTTAATTGTTTTTAAAAAAATTTTTGTTAATTCTCTTTTGTTTGCATGTAATCATTCATATACCTCATATTTTGTACATGTACTTTGTGTTGTATACAATCGTGCATATACATTGTGTTTCATTCATGTACCTTGTGTGACAATAAATTATGCACATTATACTTCATACAATAAATTATAGGAACTTTACGAAAAAAGAAAGGCCATAATTCAAAAGAGTAACTAGAAAGCTATGGGTATTAGCAATCTATTTGAGAAATGTAATGCCGAAAGATGATCACATATTTCTTTTAAATCAGTCCACATGCTACTTAACATTTTGTTGTCATTGTTAGGTGCCAAGTCAGTCAAGTACAACTCAGCAAACCTGTGCACAACAGATCGGAATCTGGTTCTATCTTGTGCCATTCTCATCATCTCTGACACACTCAAGCCTATTGCTGCAATCTTGTTGAGAGTTTTCACCTCTTTTGCAAACTGCTCCATCTTTGTAGGCATATTATACCTTTCCAAGGAACAACCTCATCTAGTAACATGTTGTTGTTGTTATGTGCCATCGAGTTGCCTATGACTCATAGTGACACTATGTACAGCAGCTCTGAAGCCTACCCTGTCCTGAGCAAGTCTCACTGACTCTACACCTACATCCTTGCCCTAGTTATTACATCAATCCATCTTAATCATGGTCTTCCTCTCTTGCACTGTCCCTCCCCCCTTCTGAGTAAAGGGAACAAATATGGACCTCTTCCAGTCCATTGACCAGACAGCTGTCCTCCAAATTTCCTGGCATGGACTGGTGAGCACATCAAGGGATATACCTATTAATTGAAACAAGTCAATTGGTATCCCATCAATTCTTGGGGCCCGATTTTTTGCTAGTGCCTTCAATACAGCTTCCACTTCCTTCTTCATTACCTTTGGCTCCTGCTAATATGATACTTTCTAAAGTTATTCAGTATCAATCAATTCTTTTTGTGTATTCCCCTTGTCTTCTTTTCATTCTTCCTGGATCATTCAATATATTGCTCTTTCAATATTGTGACTCGGGGTTTAAATTTGTTTTTCATTTTCTCAGCTTAAGAAATGCAGAGCTTGAGGCTGGCATTGGGGTTGGGTAAGACTGAGAAAAACTGGATGAAATATGTTTACGGCATTGAAGTCTATGGGGGAGAGAATAGTCTAAAAGTATTATATTTTAGGGCATTATTTT